CCCAGGTTTGAGAGCCTGGGAGGGAGGGCGAGCAGCGGCACGCGAATGGTGCGCAAGCGGCGGCAGCAGCGGAGGTGAGCTAGGGCGGCCGGGGCACATTTTTAGGGGCGGCATTCTGGCGCCGGCCATGCCGCCCCTAAAAATGTGCCACCCCAAGCACCAGCTTGTTTTGCTTGTGCCTAGAGCCGGCCCTGGCTTCAAGACATAAGCTGATCACCAGCTGGAGGCAAGAAGGAATTTCCCCACTGGCTATAGCATTAGACATCTTGGGGCATGATGAGGGAGTTAAAGCTTTCCTTGAAGCATACAGTAGTGGCCACTGTCTGGTACAGAAAACCAGTCTAGAAGATGGATCATTACTGTGTTTTGCTGTGGCAACTGCTATGGTAACAGCTTGAGTCTGATGTAGTCCTTCCCCTGCATGGCATTGTCCCAGTGGCAGGCTGTGTGCCTGGCACTTTGCCCTGCCTCTGGGCTGCTTCTCTGATGAGCAGCTACTGTCAGAAGGGCATCAGGATGTCACAGTTGGTATTGCTGCTATGTGCATGGTATGTCTAACTTCTCTCCTCTCCCACAGTGTCAGTGACGGGCATTTGTGCCTCCCTGGCCTGCATAGGACTTTGCTCGTTGACTCTAATTCCCAGCGATCGCTTAGAACAATGTGAAGCATGCTTGTCTCTGGTGACAGCTTTGGTGCCCATGTGATTTGTCTTAGGAAGACCCATTGCTCGGCATGTTTGCAGTAACAGAAGTGTGACTGTGGCATGGGCTTTGTACTCTGGAGAGGCAGGACACCGCAAGCAGGGCAAGTGCCAACCCTCACCATGCCAGACATGAGACAATTTCACTCCCCTGTGCAGTGCTGTGCCAGGCAAAGCACAGAGCAAGGGCATAAACCTTCTCCTCCTGCAGCGCTGCCAAATAGGAAACAAGTAGAGAGCCCCAAGCGATGCTGCACCATGCAAAGCAAAGGGAGAGAGCCTCAGCCTGGATTAAGGGCAGCATCTCACCAATGGCTGGTGAGGGCCTGGAACTAGGACATCCTGTGTCATTCTCTGTACGGATCTCTGTAAAAACCATGCTCTGCTGTGTAGCAAGGCTTCTCTGATAGACCTGTAGAGGAAGAGCAAGGTTTGGTTAGGGAGGGACAGGATTATTGTTGTTAATATTAATATTATTGTAGTAGTTCCTAGAGGGCCCCAATCGTGGATTGGGCCCCCATAGTGTAGGGTTACCATACGTCCTCTTTTTCCCGGACATGTCCGGCTTTTCGGCAGTCAAACCCCCGTCCGGGGGGAATTGCCAAAAAGCCGAACATGTCCGGGAAAATGGCGGCTCTGCTCCTCCCC